ATCTCTGCAGAGCTCGGTTCTTGCCTGTGGTGCTTTGACGAGGAGGGTGCAGCACTCCCTCCCCGCGGTGCCCGCGGTCGTCTCCCTTCTCCCGCGAGCGGTGCTTACTGACGTGGTGTTTACGAATCTCTCTACTCCTCCAGCTTCGTGGGCCACGCTTTCCGCGACGGTGGTTGCCAGGTGCAGTTTGCCGCTTTGCATTACTGCCGCGGGAACAGTGTCCATACACACCTCTCGCCACTACCACCGTCTGTGTATCCTCACCGCCGTGCTGGCTCAGCGTGGCGGTGAGTTGCACCCTGGGACACCACCCGCCTGCTATCTGTTGTGGCCTGGTTCGCCCGCGAGGGACCCACTTGGTCGATTTCGGCCCCGGCCGGGGAGCAGGCCGAGGGGGGGGATGGAGTAGACTGGTTCGGTTCAAGGGCTCTCATTGACCACTGACGGGCTTCCCGTGGGTTGCCCATGGGCCGCCCACGGGCTAACCACGGGCTACCCAAGGGCCGCTCATGCATTTCCGTTGGCATGCCATGCCCATGGGTCAACCATGGGCAAATATGTGCTCATTGGCGGCTCATGGGTCACCCGTGGGCTGCCCGTCCCATGGGCGTTTCTGCAAAACTGTGGAAAATGTGGGAGACCCAAAACAAGCAACTACAGACAGGTTTCGAGAATATACCGCATGCTATATAATAACTCGCTATCCGCACACCCCTCTCCGGATACATACCCTCTGTCCTGGCAGTCGTGGCAGCAGCCTTTAACAGATGAGTGGGTGAGATACGTTTCTCATCAAGGGGGCTCGTGAAACGCAGGGCTTGGTGTATTGCTACCCCCCCCAACCGCCTAACCCCAGTTTGTCAAGGCGCTGATTGTATAGGATCAATTTGTCAGGATGGTCGTCGTGACGTAACACATTTCTCGCTTTAGAGTACCTCCATTTCGTACTGAATCCTGGGGCCAAGAGACCAGGCACAGGGCATGCCACTGCGTGACATTTTAACAGTAGACTACATCTTCCCAATTCGAGAGGTTGAGACAGCGAAGAGAATGCACCCTACGCAGGCACCGGCACGGTCAGCGTGGGCTGTATGGTCTTCCTGGCCCTACTAGCCTTTGTCACACAAAGCTCCAAGCCAAAAACGGTATTCTGAAGGAGTAACGAGCGTGGTATAAAGATGGCTCTGTCTGACAACTACCGCTGAATATGAACGGGAAACGTCGTCAAGTTGACTTCAAACAATCACATTAAAAAGGAACGAGCACGTTCCACGCCTGAAAGCATACATCAACGGCTGTGGCCGTAGGTTCCCACCGCAGGGTGACCAGCCGAGAAAAGGAACTGCAATACGTGGCCTCAAGACTCGGCCTAATATGAGGGTTGTCTCGAGATGTGGCGTTCTGCAGCAGCGGAGGTGGCGGTGCTGCTGTAGCTCGTGAACTTTGTAGTCTACCACAGAGGTTACACTGCTGTCACCGCTGCTGCTTTGTAGTCTATCACAGAGAGAGGTTACACTGCTGTGAGATCGGTACGCCCGAGCGAGCTTCGGAAAGAGAAATGTAAGCACGGGCAGGTTTAGTACAGTACAGTATTTTTATTCCAGTATTTAACTGCGTACTAAAACGTCCAGTACAGTACAGTACCGAGAGCCGTGCTGCCAGTACAGTATATTCCAGTATCGAGAGCTGTACTGGAGATTGCAGTATTTTTATTCCAGTATTGAAAGCTGTACTAAAACGTCCAGTACAGTACAGTACCGAGCGCCGTGCTGCCAGTACAGTATATTCCAGTATCGAGAGCTGTACTGGAGATTGCAGTATTTTTATTCCAGTATTGAAAGCTGTACTAAA